TCGAGTTTGGAATTTAATTGCCTAAGGACTTAATGAACGGCATTCTCTAAGGTTTTGATTGAGAATTGTGCCAGAATTTAGACTGCCATTCCGATTAACCGCACAGGCCATCAAAGGCAGGGAAATTGCTCATGTTAAAGTGTGCCACATTTACAACGCCCAGATACTCAGATACTCGAACACACACACGGACTGCCTGATTTCTGGATTGCTGGATTGCCGTATGAGAACTGTCACAAGAGGCGACAGCAACGGAAATTCTTGGCAAAGTTTATTAATTAATTTTGTTGATTTTGTCACGTGCTCGTAATTTCGACAAAATCCGCAAAATCACACAGTCAGACAGGCACACACACGCACTGGCACAGCACCACCCATGGATACAGGATATGGCCATGGCTGTGGGGCAGAAGCCAAAACCAAAAGCCGAACCAAAGCCAGGGCAAAACCGTCACTGAAAGCCGGCCAGAGATTGCGACTTGTGGGCCAAGTTGGGAAGGGAAGGGGCAGGATGGAGCAGCAGGAGCATCCATTAGTCAAATGGCTTTCTGCTGCTCGTCGTTAGTTGGCTTCCCCAGCTGGGGAAGCTGGGCCAGCTGCCCAGGTGCCCAAATGTTCAGCTGTCCAAATGTCCAGGAAGTAGTAGGTAGGTGGTTACAGGACCACCACAGGGGGTTATGTTATGGCCCTTTCCCTCGGCCGCACGAAATACATATTACATTATGTCCATGTTTATGACGATTATTGTTATTGCATTTGTTTCCCTGGCCGTTCGGTGCAAAAGTCAATTAAATGGTTTTGCGGCAACCATTTGTTCATAATTCGATTATGATTTCGGGCCCAGTAATCTGGTTTTGTAGGCATTATAATTTTAATATGTTTGCCAGCGGCCGGAGCGCACAAACCGTAATTGTCAAGCAGCTGTTGCACTTTGCACGTTTGCCAATCGATGGTTATTGGCTATTTACTTGGCCCGAACCTCAAAAGCGCTCTGTAAAGTATGCTATATATTAAATTAAAATGGGAAACTTTTCCACACTACTTTGCTTTAACAAACTTTGGGTTTTTAATTAGTTTTGCTGAAGAGAGAGATTGATTTTGTTGAAGCTAGGATTTCCTAGGATTGCCAATCCCTGCGGTAATGTTATTTAAATATTGAATATGAGAGGTTAAGATCCCCATCAGTCTATCCATCGCCCTGCGGCATTCAAATAATTCGATCCGGGCCCCATGTCCTTTGGCCCATTTGATGGCCAATTGGGCCCGCTCCTCGGTGGCCACCGACCATTGTCTTTGGCCGCTGCCGCTGCTGCTGCTGCTGCTGACATGGGCGACTTAATGGACTTTAGTCATCATTAGTGGCCCTTTGGCAGCTCCAGCTTCCCCGGCGACCGACCGCATGTCGGCCATAATTTGGTGAAGCAAACGAAATGGAATCGCATCGCATACTCATATGTGGCATCGAATCGGTTGCCACTGCCTGCTGGGCCATAATCCACTCATATGCTGGGTATTGTTGGCGTAGCTCTAGGAGCGGCGCTTCCATTTGCGCTTTGTTGCCATCAATTGTGCATTGAACTGTGCAAATGTTTGTGTGTATAAGGACCCCGCCCCCACCCACTTCATCCCACATCTAACGCCCACATGTAAGGGGCGGATTCTTTGTTTTCCTTTTTACCAGCTGGAGAAAGCATGCGCAGGCGAGAGGGTCTTGAGGTTATTTTCCTTTTGGAACAATTGAAGCAGCGGCAACTTTTGGGATGGCCGAGCACATGGGATAGTTACTCCGGGTGTGGATTGTTGGTTTTTCCCCCCAGAGAAAGCTGCAAGCTTTTCAATTTCCCACATTTCCAAAATATGGACGAAAAGAAACAAATAGAAAACGAATTTTCCAACTACTTAGGAAATTAAATTTATTACATTTAGTTTCTGCAGTGAATAGAAATGGTTAATTTAATGGGGCAACTTGAAGCTATTACAAAACTTATTCAGTTATTGGAAACGTTTATTTTTAGCTTGCCATATATTCAGATACCTTTTTTTTTTGTGCACAAAGTTTTATTAAAAAAAAACAGAAAGTGGAGAATTATGCTGACGCATTTAAAATGCAATAAATGTGGGCGTGGCTGGGGGCTGATCCAGCAATTTTTGCCAGTCGTGCAAAATGTCAAACATGTCAATCAAAAGTCATTTGCTATGCTGCCCGCATGCCACGCTGCGTTCGATTTTGGCCCAAACAGTTTGGCGTCGAGTGTCGAACGTCGCATATTGAGCTGCATTTGAGCGGCATCTGTGGTCCGTGGAGAGGGTATGACAGCCGCGTCTGTCGCCTGGCAATTTAGCAGGTTTCCTGCTCCCTGCTTTCCGTGGAATCCGCTTAGTACTGCATCCTTTCCTTTCCCTTGGCCACTTTAACCAACACTCCTCGCCGAAAATGCTTGACAGATGCAGCTGAAGGCTTGTGGCAATACTTTTTGGTTATATTGCCGCAAACACGCCTAATATCAGGGTGGCAGGGAGTCAAAGGCAAAGCAAGGCTTTCGGGACCGATGGTCCCTTGATGTTTGCCCCAACGACGTGCGCCCAATTTAAATTTGCTTGTATATGTCATGTGGAGCGAGCGCCTTGTTTATATGAGTTGGCATAAGGATTGACTCTTGCTCGGAAAAATACCCTCAGTGAGATTAACTGGCGGCAACGGCATTCGATTTAAATTGGAATCTTTTCCCTTAAAGAAATTGCCAACTGTAGTAATAACTTGATACACAATTTTGCAAGGCATTGAAAAGGCAATTAGTTTTCGCTTTAGCTCAGAAACAGGGAAATTTTTTATTTAGTTTTGCTGGGAAAAATTCTTTGAAATAAAAGGAAAATAATAAAGTAGGTCATACATTTTCATAAAGTGTACCAATTTAATTTATTAAATATGTCAGTGAAAGGTACTTTACACTCGTACATAATGAAAATATAATTAAAATTTTCAATTAAAGTTCTCAAGTGAAGGGCATCTAGCAGTCGCACTGACCCCATCGATTTCGACCTTGTTTTTATGTATTTGCCTTTTGATTTGTTTGCGGATGCAGGTTGCGTCCTGTGCCAAGGGCGTTCCATCGTGTCGGGGGTTGGGCGCTGGATTTGAAATTTGTGTAAATTGAATTTATTGAAGTCTAATAGTCCCACGTGTGCGCGCATATCTGCTGGCAATGCCAGACTTTCCTGACAGCCCGTCAATATATCGATATATGTGTGTATGTGCATGCAGGTTCCGAGAGGTGAAGACGTTTGATGTCAAAATTGCTGCAAGGCGTTATTCCTCCATCGCCGGCGTTAGAGGGATGGTGGTATTTATAGTCTACTTAAAGGATTCCCCCACAAAGCAATTTCAAGTGGCGGGGCGCTCTTAGCCCGGCCCTAAGTTCGTAAGTTCGGATTTCGATGACGGGATTCTGGGAGCACGTCAAGCGAAGACAAACAATTTAACTGAACGCTGAAAAGGGGTGATTACGTACGGGATGTGCTTGGGGGATGGGTTTTAGGATGGGATGGCATTGGTGTGCCGTAGTATGTGTCCTCTTTTCAGCGACGGGTGTTTGTCGACTGGCGCCGCCGCAACCACAAATGCAAAAACACCGACAAAAGCGGCTGCTGCCACCGCTACAACAACCAGCGACGACCGACGACCGACGACGACTTCATTTCAAATAATTTACATTTTGCGGAATTTACGCTGAAATTTTAATTGGAATTTACTTTGCGACTTTTTCGTGGGCGAGCTGCGAGCTGCGTAGCGCTAATTTATGCCTGGGAAAACTTTTGCCTCGTCTTCCGCTTGTTGACAAGCCAAATTTGTCATGCATTTAATGGCTTAGACAGCCCGCGCTGTCACGCCAATATTGAGCCGCTTGTAGTACAAGCACAATCAGACAGCACGGCGTATGCGTAACATTTTCATCAAGCCAGAGCAACAGTTGCGGGGGAAGTCTAAGCTACAGCTTTTGCCAAATTTCCTGTCTGTATTTTACAACCCTATCCTTAACTGCCACAAATTTTGGTACTTTGTGATGCAATTCAATTTGGAAATAAATTTGTTTTTTTATGGTTTTTCTTTTTGTAATTTGCATAAATCAAGAGAGCTAATAACCTATACTAACAATGAAAATAGGTATTTGAGTTTTTTTGACCAAAATGTATTTTTTATGGTTTCCTAATCGTAATTTGGACCCATCAGTTTATTACCGAATATTTTAAGTAGCTAATAACCTAAACTATACGAGTCCTTTTCATATTCCGGACAATTTAGTTTTTAATCAATTTGTTCCTTTTTCGTATTTCTTGGAAAATACAAATGAAAAATGTTTATTGCCAATTTAAAGTGTTTTTTCAAAAATGTGAATATACTTTCATCCATTTAAACAAATTTATTTAAACCATTTTTGTAGTTAAGAGTTCCAGAGTTAAAAAGTTCTCTGTAATTTGGGAAATTAGCTAAATGTTAGGTAGCTCTTCTACAAAAGTCACATTTTCCCATTGATTAAGTAGCATCTCTCGTCTGCTGCAGCAACAGCTCTGTAAAGCTGTAACCCATTAACACACATTTACAGGCCGTTTGGCCGAGCAGTTAACAGCCGACTAACAGTAACAGCCGAGCGGATTTCGCCTCTGAGCGCTTGAGTGGGTGAGCGGGCGAATGGGCGACTGAATTCGAATTGAGCGACTGAGCGGCGGCCCACTTTGAGTGCAACATGCGCGCTGCCGACGCCTCAGCCTCGGTCGGCTCTCTGCGGCAGCGGACGGAAGCGGCGGCTGAGGAGCTCCGTGTGTATTCGCAGTCGCAGTGGCAGTGGCAGTCGCAGTATTGGGGCACATTCCGAGCTGGGAACGCAGCCTGTAAGTGTGTCAGTGTGTCCGTACGTATCCGTGAGCTTCCGAGTTTCCGAGTTCCCGAGTTTTCGACTTTCCGAGCTTCGTGCGCCGCTCAGGGAAATTCGGCAGTTCATTCGTCTGTCAGCCAGCCGCAGTCGCAGTTCGCAGCCGCAGTCCGCTGTTCGCAGTCCGCTCGCCATTTTGGCCCGTTCAAAATATTCGTAAGGCCGCTGGCATTCGCAGTCGCAGTCGCATGCTGAGAGGAAATAGGCGCGCTACAGATTTCGATTACGATTTTCTTTCTGTTTCTGGTTCGGATTCTTAGAGAAGAGGTCCCAGAACAAAAAAAAAAGAGAGAGGGGGTAGATGGTAACAACAGCAGTCAGCAGCAGCAGCAGCAGCAGCAGCGGCGAATTAATGATTATAGCTGGAGATTACAAGCGCATTGATTGCGGCCAACGGTACGGATGAATTTCGGATAATGTCGCGCGCGCGTGCCATTGCGTATACGCAGCGTTGGCCGTCGCTTTTCTGTGACATTGTGCGAGCGCACTTCCGCTGGGCCGCCAAATGCATTTTGCAGTTAATTTAAGAAAAATATATACATCTCTTGTGCGAAAATCAAATTAAAACAAAAAGTGAGCAGCCTTCGCGGAAAATATATAATCGGGAAAATATTATTGCATCTGCTCTTGTCTCTTTGCCCTTGTGCTTTTCCGCTTTGCTTGTCGCCGTTTCAGTTTTTCGGTTTCATTTCTGTGATTATTTTGTGCAATTAATAAAATGTTGTCGCGCAAATATATAATATGTATATATGTACATATAAAACAAACAAAATGCCACCCGCCGCACGTTCGTTTAGTTTTACATGCCAAATGGCCAAAGGAGAAAACACGCTTAGCGAAACACAGTGAAATATGCACAAACCCTAATCGCAATCACCAGAGTTATTTGTTATGTGCCCAGTGCAAATGCAAAATGCAACAATCGAGAGTCCAACGATGGCGGAGAAATATATAACCAGAAGCAATCGCCACCGCGACGATGGCGATAACATAAATAAGAACTGCCAAAGCGAATCACCGACGGCAGAGCCACTCATCGGGCCCGAGAACGTTGTCTATAAGCCAAGTCCCACAGCCGAACACACACTTGTGATGCCAAGTGCCCCGGGCACTGCAATCAAAGTGGCTGAAAGGGGGCGTAAGGGGTAGAGGAATACACATAAAAAAATATCATAAACGATGATCGATGGTCTATTAGCATCTTGAAGGAAAACTCGATTTAAGTGGGTGCCAATGCTTAGAATTAATAACCAATTTGTATGGTTTAAGATATAGGAGTACCTAAAAGTTAATGCCTATTTATCAATTCCAATTTATACTTTTGAACCAAAAACATCTGGGAAATTCCGGTTTGAACTTTTAAGATGTCTTTACAATTTTGATCAAAAAATTTATAAATCGCTTTTGGGAAAATTGATCGGAGCTTAAAACCGAAACACAATTAAAATGTATTTTATTGTATAATTTTTATAATGATATTAAAACTACCCAGTCGTTTTATATAGAAAAGTATGATTACACATTTCATTGGTTCAATTCCCTCTTTTGCATCACATAAATTCCCTTGTGAGTGGGCAAGTGTGTCACTCACATTACTCGCTCACAAGGGAGTTCTATTCCTAAACAATCGCAAGAAATTCCCCGATCGTTCATAAAAGTTTATATGTTCCCTGAACCGCAATTCCATGGGAATAATTGTTTTTCAATCCGAATTTATATTTTTTATGGCACATATAATACTTTAGATAGTGAATAGTCCGTATAAATGTATATTTTTTTAGTGTACTCCAAACGGAAGTGTTGATATTGCCGCTGCTCAGTCGCAGTCGCAGCTCAGTCGCAATTCAGTCGGTATAGAAATTGTCATCTCATAACGACTTAAGCTGCTCGGCACGCAACATGACCGGGCTGAGCAGCATAGTCAGCATTTCTGCACCTCCCAGAATCCAGCTCACCCGTCTTTCCACCCACTTTTCCAACCCACTGCCAATGCCCCCAGGGGTCACACACACACACACACACACACACACTGAAAGCCACAACAAACGCATCCACAGAGTCTTGAATCTTGGAGGGCGAAGATGATGATGATGACAATGGGCGGATGATGGCAAAGTCATTTCTTTAAAGGCAGTGCCTCTCTCCCGGTCGTTCTGTGTGCACTGAGTGATTTTGTTTGCCAGTGCCTTCTATTTATTTTCTATTTATTCGATTTGCATTTCCACTCTTCGGAGCCAAAACTCTCCAGATTTCAAATGCAAATTCGGTTCCCCCTAAGCCATTCCGAATATCTTCTGTGTGTTTTGTTTGGCTGTTGACTTGGCTTTCAGGCTCTTGGCAGCTCTTCGGCAATGGGAATCTGCGATTGCCATCCATTTACTAAATGGTGAGTATCAGACTAAATAATATTTGATATTAATTAACAATCTAGTATTTGTCTTATTTTGAGTGTCTACTGTCTGGCGACATTTACCCCATAGCATTGCTGTATGCCAGACAAAACGGTCCCAGTGTTTGCACAATAATCTCGCAATCAGCTTATACGTAAACCAATCTACAGCTTCCATAAATTAAATACAGTACGCTTCAGTGATAAAAGACAGTTTAGCTGGCGAGGCTTTATGTCCAGAGCTCAGCGAGCGTTAAGATTTTGAGCTGATTGAGCAAGGCAATTTTACGAGTCGGGTTAGCTTATAAGAGGGTTATTATCTTTCAATTGGATTAATTGTGGAGTGGAGTCATTAGCAGTATTCAAGGTGATAACAAATCTTAAATTATACTTTACATGTAGCAATCATCTTTATCTCCCCTTAAATATACGATATATAAACTATTGAATTTCTCTAACTCTAAGAACTAAATTCCATTTTAAGAACTACTCAGGAGATTTTATAAAACATTATATTCCAAGTGTAACTTGATAATAGAATTGATTTGTCCGATTCAACAGTATTTTATAATCAGTAGTTTGCTTATCAGAACAATTTTTTCTCAGAGGGTCAAATAGATTACGATTTATTGATTACTATAAATATAGTAATGCGAATTGCAACAATCATTATAACGCTTAAACAAAACTGTTATCACTGGGAATTAGGACCCAAAATGCGTTTTCAACTTTAATGGCCGAAAACGGAAGTGCAAAATGGCGAGCCAAAGTGCGTCAAATGCAGGCCTTAATGCGATTGTATTTTTGCTGGCGGCCCCCGTTGAAAATGCAATTTAAATGAGATTACACTTTGGCGAGCGGCCACGCCTAGTTTTGCGGTGGAGGGCGGGCTTTGGCTCGGAGGTGGGCTGGCTCATTAATTATGATACTTTGAGCTTCGAGTGGCGAAGCTGGCTTGCGGCATGTATCGGAAATACACGTTAAATCGGCAAATAACCGCAGGCCGATCGAACGCCCGTACATATATAACACCCAACCATCCCCCAGTGCGCATATACTTAATGACACAGGCGATGACAAAGCGAGACGACAGGTGTTTAAAACTTTTCCCCAAAACGCAACTCCTCGGGGGAAATGCGGAGATGTTATGCTATGTGTCTTTGCCCGCCAGCGAATCTGGGGCGTTGTCGGCATTTTCTTGCTCAATCAACTTCAATCAAGCAGGAATTTTCAATGTAATTTGTGGTTTCAAAAGCGCTGCCACGCCGAAGATGTTCTCGTGGCTGTGTCAAAGGCAGCCATTGAGTGTGTAGAAAGGCAGAAAATTATCGACAAGGCCCACAGCATTCGCATACACACACCTACAAAGGGCAGGGGGATGAATAGTCGAGCGCCTCGAATAAGCGATACCTAGTACTCACTGGGAAAAATATATATATTTTAAATATGATACACATCTAATGCTTGAGAAGAAGTAAGCTTAGGTACCAAAAATACCATTTTATATATCACTTAATTTATGCTAACTAAATCTTACTGCTTATTTTAGGATAGTTAAGTATTTATTAGACTCAATAATTAAATCTCCCGATTACTTGCTCTATATAAATTAAGCAATTTTTGAGTGTATTTTTTTGGGAATATTTTAAAGCCCATATACCCTTGGCTTTTTACAAGTACGGGGTACGAAAAACTGCCGCACCAATACGCACACAAAGAGCAATGAAAGTTGGCGCCGTGGAACAAATGAAGCAGTGTGAAAATCTTGTGTTGGGACCGCTCTCCTTCCGCTTGATTTGATGGCCTCTGGGCGGCTTCTCGTTTTCCCAACTTCGAGCTACAAGGGAATAGAAAGGCAGCAGAAAGGCAGAAACAAAGGCCGCTGAGGAAGGAAGGAAATGTCCGCCGTCTGTCCGCTTGATTAGAAAAGCTGCAAGCGATAAGAAGGCGCTGAAAGAAGAGCGAAAAATACAAAATAAAATAGAATTCTAATTGAATTTTATATACACAGATTCTTGCTATCCCTCGGCCATTTTCCCTTTTTAATTCGCACTTGGACTGCGACTGAACTGGACTGAAATGGCCTGCGCTGCACTGCCCGCAGCCAAGTGTCCGTTTGATGTCCTTCCCTTGTCGCCGGGTCCTGATTTATTGGCCTGCAGAGGCGAAGGAGCTGCGCTTTTGGGGCTCCGACTTGTCCAGCGTTTTTAATTGCCTGTCAGCCGTCGTCCGCCGGCCTGTTCAGCATATCGGAAAGCAGAGTTAAAGAATTAAAACTCCGTCCAAACGGCCCCTTAAGCAGACACTTTGGCACAGTGTGTGGAAAGCATGGCCAGCATTTGGTTAGAAAATGTCCAAACTTGGCAGAGACAGCTATGCACAGCAGAAAGCAGTCAGCCATATAAGTATGTGGAATGGAAATGAAAATAGTAGTCTTGCATAGAATCCGGAATACCCTCCAGTTCTCATTGAAGAAAAGAAAATCTATTTAATTTTAAAGCTTTGAACGCATTTTCCCTAACCATTCTAACGAGCACAAATGGTATTATTTATTGAGCAGATTTAAAATTGTTTCTCTTTCTTAGACCAGAGTCGTCCTCTTGTATCATCTACGGAAAATTGAATATCCTTTGCAGGGGTGTAAAAATAAATAAATGTATTTATACCTGCGGTGAGACCTAAACATTTTGAAGTGCTCGACACGAAGGCAACCGCAACAACCGTATCCGAAACATCCCCCTCAAAAACCGAGAGGCTGGAAAGTGGGAAAAACTTGACACACTTTTCTTGCTGGCTCACCCACACAAAAAACGAAAAAAAAAAAAATACAAAAACGAGACAAAACAAATCAAATATTTAAAGCTCATTGAAGCGCAAACTTTGACACATGTTAATCGCAACGGGAACTTTGATCGAGACGAAGATAAATGGCAAGGGCCCAAGTCGCAGCGACTAACTAACATTATCTGATGACCACATTCAGATCCAGTTACCCGCCCACCCGCCG